GTGAAACTTACATGATGTCATAATGCAGCGTTACTTCAATGAAATGATTAATCCATAGTAATAGTAAATAGATCAAAATGAAAACAAAAAGAAAATGAAAGAACAGGACCTTCTATGTGGGGGTACAGGCAGGAGGAAGGGGCTGCAGTCTCATGACCTCTAAAAGCTGTTTCCTCCCTCCCCCATGCCCTGGCACCCAGGGAGCTACTTTTCCAGCTTCCCTTAAAGGCAGGTGTGGCCATGGGCCTGAGTTCTGACTGGCAGGGCTAATCGAAGTCACTTCTGGAGTCAGCCCATTACAAACTGTGATCTTCCCCAGGTAGCACACCTGCATCAGGCGCTGCATGATACACTTCTATTGGGGTGGCCTTCAGGATTTGAGGGATATCTTCACAGCCATGTGGTTTTCATCTTAACTGCTCCAGGAAGTAACGTGAGCTCAGAACTATAGACTGTTAGGAGTTAACCAGATGCAAAGGCTGGTGTGGGAGGAACAACAGTTCATCCAAAGAATGAAAACATTGGAAATTGAGGGAAGAAGGAACATTAGGAAAGTGGCTTTAAGCTAAGTGCACAGGGAAGCCAGTGAAGGATTTTAAATTGGGGGCCAAGAAACCGAGAAAGATGGATGGTCCAATTTGCACTCTTAACAGATTGCTCTGGCTTCCACAGGGAGGCGGGAGGGCAGTGCTAAGCAGAGGAAAGTGAGTGCAATGTGGAGAAATCAGAAGCAAGGCTGCTGACGTGGCCTAGGGGAGGGACTGCATTGACTCCCTCCCTGTTATCAGTCCTCTGGGCCCTGGACCAGTCAATAGAGTCAGCCACAAGCTCCCCCGTCTTGGGCCAGATACACCCCACCCCAACCGCAGTGACAGGTTGAAGGACCTGGACACAGGTGGGCATGTCTGCCCCAGACAGAGCTGTGAGGGTGGACTTTTTGGTATCAGAAAGTTCACAGGGGAGACAGCAGGAAGATGGACCCTCCCCATGTAGCTGAGTGCTGTGTGATCGCTCCTGCACATGGGTGTTTCCGTGCGGGAATTTATTTCACCGAAGACTCAGTTTGACTTTCAACAAGACAATCATTTACCTGCAGCTCCTCAAGCAGCTCTTTTTGCAGGTGGGCTAGGAAATGCTTCTTCAATCAGGGGCCCCCAACTGAATCCCTAGACACCCCAGCAAGGTGCACATCTCCATCCTTGGTGAGAAGTGGGGACTCATGTCCTGGCAAGCTGGAAACCCCGGTGCAGGGATGCTGCTGCGCAGGCACGTGCAAATACCAAGAATGGAAAAAACGCTTTGGGGGTTTCAACATCTCCGCGTTCAGCTCAGCCTTACAGGAGCAGAGAGAGCAGGAGCTCAGTGGCTGCACTGTTGACAGTCCTCTGGCTGGGCTATCCATACAGCCTGATCGTTTCATACCTGAGCCCATCATTATCCCACTCTGCAGACCCTGAACTCCCAGGGAGGTCACATAAACCACCGCAGCGTTCTGCTCGCCCTCATTCCTATTCAATTAAGCATCTGTTAGCAGAGCAAACTATTTTCAAAAGGGCACAGTGGCCCAAATGGAGCCCCTTGTCACAGCCATAAGGAAACAGAGTCCATGTTACAGCAGCAACTGTCAGGGAACAGGGCAGGCAGAGCGCAAACGCAAGCCACGGAGGAAATCAGCGGGGCAGCAACTGAAGGTCAATGTGTTCAGCCAACCCCATCACAGGACATGACACCTGGGAGAATGAGTTGCCCTACCCATGTGAGGGTGGACGTCATGGTCTGTATTGTCTGCATCCCCCCAAAACCATGTGTGGAAACCCTCAGCCCCAACATGACGGTGTTAGGAAGCGGGGCCTTTGGGTAATTGGATTTAGATGAGTCAGTGAGGTGGACCCCCCTCCGTGGCGGGATTCGTGCTGTTACATGAGGAAGAGACACCAGGGTTCCTCCTCCTGCCCTGTGAGCACACAGCAAGGGTTGTCTATAAACAGGAAGAGCCTGCACCCAGGATCTGGACCTGCCAGCACCCTCATCTTGGACTTTCAGCACCCAGACTGTGAGAAATAAATGTCTATTGTTTGAAACATCCAGTCTATGATATTTCGTTACATGGCTCCAGTTGACTGAGATATGGACATAGCAGACCCTAAGACCCCACCTGGACCATCCGTGACTTGAAATGGAATCTAATGAAATCTCCTGATGTGAATCCTGACCGTGAACACAAACGCTCAAAAAAGCTATTGCCCTAAAATGCCTCTTCAGTCTCCCTTACAATTACGCTAATTTATAGAGGTTAATCTTCAGGGTCCACCACATCTCTGCATTCAACAGCACAATACGAGAACACAAAGCTTGAGGAAAGACAACCCTAGAGAGTTAAAATCAACCAGCCCAGAGCAGATGAGATGACAATAAAACATTCCCTGTCCTTCCTCAGAACGCAAGGAGGGAGTACAAGATCAGGAACATGGGATGAGAACAAGGAGAAGGGAGTTAAAAATAGTGGAAAAGAAGAAACAAAATGTTTATGTTTTGCAGATGGTAGCTCTGTCCAAATCTTAAAGAATCCACTGAAAAATCATCAGATAGCACGTAGCTGGGTAAGATGCGCGGTTGCAGCGTTCAATACGCACAGAACAGCCAAACCTCCTGGGAATGCTTTGGGGAAATAGTCTATGAATAAGAACAACGAAAGTGTAGGAAAAATACCTGGAAATATAACAAAAAGAAACGTGCAAGACGTGTGTGAAGAAAACTGTTCAACTTCACTGCAAGTTACCAAATGCTACAGAGACAGGAGCGGACAACAGCGTAAAGACCTCAGTCCCCCCGCACGGTGCCCAGTTTATTTATAAATTTGGTGTCCTTCTGCCTTCCCGTGGCAGTCTATTCTTTCCTTGGATGCCTTGGAGGGTCTATTCTTGGGAGTCTGTGAGGCCTGAATAATTCTCTCCATTTTCAGCTCCTGCGAGTGGGCTTCTGCTCATGGAAACCAAATGAGAAACTCAGCCTGTGCGTCCCCCTGTGTCCTGTGGGCGCAAACATCTCGGGCCTCCCATGCTCTCGTTCTGTCTCTCACGTCTATTTCCAAATGGACTTTTGCAGCTTCTTGAGGGCAAAAAACATTTGATTTTGTTTTAAGCATTTTTGCAGCTTCAACTGGCTACAAGGCCAGCTGCCAGCCCCGCTCAGCAAACCCTCCCCGCTACCTGGCCCAGCTCCCAGGGCTGTGCGCTCCGACTCGCGAGAGAAAGAGTCTGCTTGGCAAACCCAGCTCTTGCCAAGGTTCCTACCTCTGACCCAGCACCCTGGAGCCAAGGGACGAGGTCCTGAGGGTGGGGTGGAGCCAGGGAAAGGGTGCTGGTGGTGGAGTCAACGGCTGACGATCGCACATCACAGCTCCCACCTACTAGCCTTCGACACTGACCCGACACTTGCATCTTGCATCCATTTTAGCCCCTAACGTTTCCCACCCATCTTGCCAAATAGGTTTCTTCTCCGCCGTGGCGGTGCGGCAGCCAGCTGGGGACGGGGGACGCCCTGCCATCACGCGACCCACCTGCAAGCCAAAGAGGAATCCAGTTACAAGAACCAAGGGTCTGGGTCCCTTCTTGCCTGCCGAAGTGTGGGTAATAGAGTCAGCCACCCCTCCCACCAGCAGAGGCGTGCTACTCAAGTGTGCGCGCGGTGCTGACGGCCAGGACACCAGTCCCCGCGCGTGGTAGGGAAACGCGCAAGCAAGGAGACTGGGTTGGTGACGTCCCGACTTGCTGACCTGTGCAGCCCCCCTCAGTACACCCTGCCCCCCGGGTGTACACAGCAGCCCCTGGCCTGTCACCCCCTTCCTCGGGCTCTGTGAGGCCTTGGACTCCCACAGAAGGGACCCTTTGGGAGTGTCCTTCTTGCTGGACCATTCCCTGGGCTGCTAAGGTTGAGGAGAGAGACTCTGGGCTTCCCCTCGGGCCTTGATTAGAGAGGCGCTGCGTAGGATGCGTCCACACTGACCAGGGCTGCCGTGGTGGCCACCGGGAAAGGACTGGCTGGGGTGGGGGGGCAGTCCACAGAACTGCCCTGAGACAATGGGGCACACAGGCCACAGGGGCGAGACGGGCTACCCAGGACCCGTCTTCAGAAGCCCCGAGGCACCAAGGGAAAGTCGGCTGGACCCCTTGCTGGAGATACCGGGTGCAGGCTCGGATGGAGCTCTTGACGCTGCCGACCCTCCCGCGCGCCTCACGAAGGGAGACAGGCCGAGAGGAGCACCTGCTCCTCATCATCACCCTGCACGCCCGTTGCTTCCTCTGCGCCTCGCGCCACACTCCTGGCCACACATGTGGGCACACACAGGCCCACCGGGCACATGCCACCACCCCGCCCCGGCTACCGTCCTCACACTCCACGCTGCAGAGGGAAGAAGCCCACAGTGGAGCCAGCATGGTCACGAGCATCCTGGGTGCTGATGACAGAGGGGATGCAGCAAAGCTCAAACAGCCACAAGAGACTTGGGGGGCCCCTGCACATGGGACCCCAAAGCAGGCACACACCCAGTCCCCTGGCTCTGGCCTCTCCAGGGGGGAGATTACAGTGTGAGGAGCATGGGGGGGCACCTCCCACCTGAGTCCCACTTGGGGTGAGCAGCAAGGAGCCTCAAAGCTGGGGGTTGTCCCTTTGGAGCCATGAACCGCGTAAACCAGGGTGATGGGCTCCAGATGTGGATGCACCCCACCCCTGCTGTCCTGGTGAGCCCCAACTTTCCAGCGGGACTTCTGAATGGTCGGCACCCGGATACAGGGACCGGGCCCCATCACAAGAAGGCACACGGCCATCGCCAGCCAGCACCGCCCCGTGAGCTGCGTGCACTGAGGACGCGTCTGCCCCTGGCAGAGGACACCTGACACGCCAGCTCTCCCGGCAGGACCGAGCAGACCTCAGACGTGGATGCTCTGCCACGTCCCAAGATCATCACCCAGGGCAAGATGAAGACAGACACTGAATCACGCATCTCAACTCTGTTTTATTACAACACCAAGGAAAATAGTTGCAGGAGGAATGATACCAGAGATAAACAGGTTAAATCACTCACAATTGCATCAGCTATACCTTCCTAAAAGGGCATAAATATCACGGTGTCCGTGCATGCATTGTGGGAGAGGGTGTGTGTGTGCATGTGTGCATGTGTGTGTGTTTATGTGTGTCGGATGATTTCTCTCTAGGGTGTTGTTATAATTCTAGACAGATGATGGCTGGAGTCGGTGTCTTCTGGCAGACGAGGAAGGGGCACTCCCACTAGGACTGGGAACCAGCCTTTTTCTTCTGGAACTTTCTGAACTGAGACTGAATGGCCACCGCCGCACGTTCTGTCTCTGGAGCGTCCATGTCAATGTCGAATTCTTCTTGAACTTTCTTCTGCCCATCTGCAGCAAAAAACACAAACACGCAGCAATGACCGAGCTGAAGCAAGAGGCAGCGCCCAGCCCACCCCGACAAGGCCTAGCTGCAGAGTCGAGCCCGCGGGAGCGTGCCCTGGCTCTGGGGGGCAGCAGGCCCTTGTCCTCGGGGTGAGCAGGTGACATCACCTGACCGTCCCCCCAGGCCGAGTCTCACAAGGCTCAGGCTTCGCTCCAACAAGGCCAGCTTAGCAGTTTGTTTGCTGCGGGAGAAACACTGAACCGGCCCACGGTTCCCGCCATTGAAAGGGGGATCCAAAGGCAAAGCAACGGGAAAGCTCGCCGATTGGCCCTCGGCCCTGGGGGCCTCTCAGGGCACCCCCCGACTTCCAGCCAATACTTAGAACAAAGGAGTAAAATCCTCTTGGCCATGAAGCCAAGAATCTGTAAAACTTCCACTCAGTAGAAGAAACTGATGGTCAGGATCACCAAGTGCTCTTTCTCGTTCACTTCTTTTCAATTCAGACACAGGCCCCAGGCCGGGGCTGCCTCACTGCCCCGGGCCCCTGAGAGCAAGGCCAGGCTAGGTGTACCCTGCGGGCAGGACCCAATGGCCTCTCCTATTAAGACTCTCAGGTGAGCCCAAGATGCGGCCGGGGTGGCGATGCAGGTGTTTACAGGTGACGCAACATGGAGGCCCTGGAAACCCACTGGCCAGCCTGGGCTGGCACCTGAGCAGGGGAGCCAAGTCAGGGGCAGAAATCGGGGTCCCCAGAGGCAGGTGGGACAGCGCTAGCCAGGAGCAGGGAGCGGGCCTGTTCCCGGCTGGCCACCAGGCACCCCACACGTGTGTTCTGACCTCACGGCCCCGTCGCTTCCCCTTGGGATGATGTTCCTCCAGCCGCGGCGGGCAGGGGCGGGCTGCCGGCAAGGAGGCTGTGAGCTCCGCACTCGCCCCCTGCCGCGCTCCTGCACCTGCGAGCCCTCAACTGAGCAGCTGTTGCCTGGTGTTTCCTGAGGGTCCCCACACAGGCGCAGGTTTGACCGAGTCCCCCACTCGCACCCCTGCCTGAGGGGGTGCTGCCGGCTGCAGCTCTGCCAGCCCCTGGCCTGTGGTCTGTGACCTAGACCAGAACCAGAGTCCTCGGGAGCCCAGGAGAGCAGAGATTTCCAGTGCACCAAAGTCCAGGCGCTGTCTGGGGGCCCGAGTATTTTAACCTGCAAACCCTGAGGATGAGGGGACAGCAGGAGTGTCCCTAGGCCCTCCGGTGGCTGTGGGCAAGCCGTCCGCTCTGCAGGGCCCTGAACTCAGGGAACCCACTCCAGAGGAGGACCTGGGCGGCCCCCACCCCTACCCCCACCCCCGTGCCTGAGGCGCAAGTCCAGGCCGGGATGATTCATCATGGGAGGCCTGGAGGCCGAGCCCCTGCTCTCCTGCAGCAGAGCCTCCAGCCGGGAGCCTGAGGGAGCGGCACCTGCAGGTCTGGGAGTAGCTGTTTCCCATGGGACTGGATGGTCTCGAGCCCCTGAGCCTCCCCACAGAGGAGCAGGCAGCTCTGCTTCCTGACGGCAGGTGGGAGCAAAGCCCCAGCGCCAAAGGAGGTGGGGGATTTCGCTTTCAAATTTAAAACACTGCTGCAGCCTGAAGATTTTGAAGGGGCTGATTCATCTTTCCCTTTTTAAAATAGTTGGAGAAAACAGCAATATATTTTTTTGACAAATGATAAATGAAGATGCAGGAAGTTATGTATATTTAGGGAATAGATAATGAGAGGAAGGACGGGTCATAAAAATAAATTTCACAATTACATCTTAAACTAATATCTCCAGCCGAATGGGATGTATAGATCCCGCCCGCGCTTGGCAAATACTACAGTGCTGAGGAAAGCAAGCAGGATATTTCAGGAGCCTGACTTTCTGTTTACTTTGCAGAACGAGCCTTCTTTGGGGAAGGCTGATCTTACCCTTCCGCTGAGCAGGCCCGGGGTGGGGGTGTGTAAACCCGGGGGAGGGGAACCCCGATTGCGGGGGGTTGGGGGGGGTGGGGGGAGGGGGGGGTCACAGCGCAGGTGCAATGCCCGGAATGTGGTGGTGGGGCCACGTGACCCTGAAGCCAGAAACGCTCAGCTCTGAGAACCCCCAACTTGGCAGGAGGAAGGGAGGTAGGAAGAGGGCCTGGGGGGGAACCGAGGGGGCACCAGCCTGTGGCCTCACGTGTTCGTGCAGAGACCCAGGCCCAGCCAAGACCCCTCCTGTGCGGTGACAGCCCCGAGGGGTGCGGGGGTCACCAGGGAGGAACCAGGGCCACCAGCAACCCCAGGGCCTTCTCCAGTGAGGACCCCAGAGAGGGGCCCTCAGCCACGCCACAGGGGAGGACACCTGGGGGTGCTCCCGCACTCCTCTCTCACTCCGAACCCCAGTTCTGAGCAGCTCATGGGCCGGCACCTGCCAGGGTCTCCTCATCACTGCTGACTGCAGGTCAGCATGAGGCGGCCCCGGGTGCACCCCTTCCTGAGTCCCTGTCCCTGCCGCCCGCCCCTGTCCTCTGGCTGAGGCTTATATGCACACAGAGGCAAAGACATACCCCTGAAACCACATAGTTTTGTAATCAGTGGTAAATCAATAAAACTTTTTTTCCTAAAAAATGGGTGGGGGCATAATCCCAAACTCCACCGGAGAATGAGAGGAAACTGAACTTCTGGACTCTACAGCTCAGGAGGTACGAGCAGAGGGACCCCATAACACAATGTCCTATGTGCCCAGCTGGGCGGACCCCAAAATATCTGAGACTTCACCCAAACTCTGCCACGTCCATTCACTGAAGACCTGGCCTCTCATGCCAAAGGGCAGAGTGAGGGAGTGAAAAGCCTTATCACCCCGCCCGCTCTCACAGCCCCATCTTGCAGCCGCCATCTCTCACACCCCACGCCACCCCCAGAACAAAGAGCACAGCTGCCAAGCAATGACACCTCCTCCCTGGGCAGAAATTTCATCAAACCAAGGCAGGACGCAGGTTGCTAACCGGCCAGCATGAGGACTTGGATAACCAAGGCCCCCAGGGGGACCTGGGTGTGCTGGGCACCGGCACAGACATCCTGATGCTACCCAAAAACCACCTCATCCCCCGCAGACAGCGAGCAGGACGCGCCTCTGTTGGCTTGTGTTTTATTTTGACATGAGCGAGACGTGCAGGTGCATCTTCCCAAAGACAACCCCGTGGCTGAGCATCGAGACTCTCCCGCATAGACTTACAGGGACGCTCCTGTGCAGCTCGCCTGGCGGCGAATGTGAAATAGAGGACCATAAACACAAAAGGAAGGAACTGCCACCAGCTGGAGACAAGCCCAGATGACTATCCCCCGTCTCCGACACTGTCGCAACATCCCCTCCAGTCGGGGAAGTCCTGCTTGCCAATAGCTATTCCCGCACCGGAACTGAGGGCTGGTGTGGGGTCCCCAGTCAGCCCTATGGCAGGTCACCTGGGTCTGCCCGAGCACTGTGCCACGCCTGAGTCCCGCAGGCTGTTGCCCAGAGGAAGACGCTTCCTCTCTCTGTGCTGGAGGCTGAAGTCAGTCCAGGGGTCCGCTGGCTTGGCATCTCCCGAGGCCTCCCTCCTAGGCCAGCGACAGCCGTCTACGCCTGAGTCCGCACCCGCAGCCTCTCCTCGTCTTATAAAGACTTGGGTCAGACTGGATCAGGCCCCACCTACCAGGCTCCTTTTAACTCGCTCTTCTCGTGAAAGGCCCTATCTGCACTCACGGCCCATTCTGAGAGACCGGGGCTCCGACTCCAGCATGTGGATCTGGGGGGACATGGTCAGCGTAACTTTGGGGCTCTCTGCAGAGCAGCTGCGCATTTCTCGCTGGTCTGACTTGTGCACAGATTCCTGGATTCCTCCAGGAATCCAGGTCTTGCTCCAAATCTTGATTTTACTCCCCAGTCTTGTGCTCCTTTCTGCTCTTCAGACACAAGCCTCTGTGCTCGGGACGGGCGTCGGTGGGGCCCGCTGCTGTTGCTCAGGGAATCTCTTCTAGGCTCCAAGTCTGAGCATGGACCACGAGGAGCCGGTGGCGAGCCTGCCCACAACCAGGTGGCCGGGCAGAACTTTACCAAGTGCCTTCATTCGGCACGTGGTCTGCAAAGCCAGGCACAAGCTGTGACTGTCCTAGGGGCTGGAGAAGAGCAGGGAGCACCCCCACACTCCTGCTCTCCCGGGGAGCACTGACAACAAAAGGGAAATGCACAAAGACGTAATGCAACCTCAGAAATTCCAAGATAAAGCCGGAGACAGAGCTATGTCCAGGCGGTCAGGGGAGGCAGGGAAAGGACCGTGTGTGGGGCAGAGGCCGCCCCCAAGGCCAGCTTGCGGCCCGTCTGCCCGGGAGGGAGGGGCAGCCAGGCTCTTAGTCGATGAGAAACAACAGTTTCTAAAAAATTATCCTTCATTGGTGCACTCGCAATCTAAGTGGCAGACTCCAAATAATTAGCATAAAATCCTTTAAAAAACGAACAGACGTGTAGTCATTCAGGGCATAACTGAGCTATTCATGGATCCTGAACAGCCCAAGATAGGATGAAAAGTTGGAATCGCAACATCATTCAAAAATATATCGTGTGAACCCCCACGTTTGGTCAAAGGAACTCAAGTCTATTTGTTTCTGAGCTGATGATATAAGATGTTGCCTGGGGTACCGGCGCCGTCATGAACACAGGGCCATACACACACATGCACACATGCACACACACACGCACATGCTCCCACAGAGACGTAGCCATACAGACACACAAATGCACAGCACACGCACACAGGCACACACACATGCACCCATATAGACACACAGAGACATACACACAGCGAGACACACAAAGATGAACACATACACACACACTCGTGTACACACACACACAATCGGCAGACACACACACACACACTCACACACATACACACAGGGACGGCTTGCATTCACCTACTAATAAAGCTCCATATTTTAAGATTTATTTTATAGAAACAAATTACCTCCTAAGGC